TTTTTTTCTTTAGATTCGTTAACCCAAACAAAATTAATATTAACTTTTTTCTTTCCTTCTCTTCTCCTCTTTTCACTTCTCTTCCCTTTCCTTCCTCTTCCCTTTTTTTTTTTCCTTATTAATTTTTATCCAAACAAAATGTAACAGACCCAAAGGTATTGACAAGTTATTACCTTTGGTTATTTTAAATTTGGTAACGGTCATGATCATTTTTAATACTAAAAATATTAATACAATTCTAAAAACACTTATTGATATCTTTATTGCCTTTTAATCAAGGTTTTTAAAATCAGACCGGACCAACAGGTTGAATCGGTCAGATCGGTATCCGGTGATGAAAATGGTTCGGTCTACATAAAAAAACCGTTTGATGTCAAAAATTGGTCAAAACCGATAAAAACTGGTAAAAACCAGTGAAAACTAATAAAAACTGATAGAACCAAAAAAACCACCGGTTCGATTTCTCATGCAATCTTCTTTCAATTTTTTTCAATTTCACCCTTCTCATTCCTTTCTTATACTCATTTTAACCTTTAATTTTAACGAAATTACAAAATTATCAACACCAAATTAAAAAATCCATGCCTGCAGCTTGCTCCTCTCATCAAATCTTCCTTGCTGTTTGGATTGGTCGGTTCATCGGTTCAACCGATTGAACCAGTTAAACCAAGAACAGATCTGAAAATGGTTCAATGACCGATCTGGTTTTAAAAACCTTGCTTTTAATCTTAGTGTTTCTTCTCTCTCTCTCTCTCTCTTTTTTCCGAATTGCTTTTACCCTTGTCATTGTAATTTCTCATGGTTTCCAAATTTGATCGCTATTCTTAATTTTTCTAGAACAACTAGTTTGATTAATTAATCCGTTGATGACTCGATCACGTATTTTACTCTTGAACTTGAAATTATTTGATTAAAATAATTGTAATTAGAGATTCCACTTCACTTTTGTGTTTAGGAAATTACTCAAAAACCAAAGATGGAGGGAAAAATTGCAAAACAATCTGAGCCTGCTTTAGTTCTTTCGTTTACTAATTGTCTTCCCTTCAAAGACGCCTGTTCAAACTGGACTCATTAACTGAAATTTCAGATGAAATTTCTTTCCATTGTAGAAATTAAGCTTGATTAGGACTTTTAGAGTTGATTCAGTCTTTGTTTGGAATCAAAGACTTTATGTCCACAAATGAAGCGGACACAGTGTAAGTGAGGGGTTTAATTTTTCTTCTTAGAAAGTAATCATGAAGTTGCTTATCATATAAATCTTTGCATATAGTCATTC